GATTTGAATTCTTAAAACCTCATCTTCTAATGAAAACTAAGAAGTAAGCAATTGGCATTCTATAACTTGGACATTTTATAACCTCTAGAAACATTTTTCACAGACATCAAAATCAATTAACACAAACTTATTTCTGTAAAACCCAGGCAAAATAAAGACATGCCTGTTGTACTTAAACCATCAAACTTAAGATAACTTTTATTTACTATGGATTAATCTTATATCATGTGAACTTGAAAAGCGTTTGAGTTAGTTTCTATATTCCTGAGAATTTTTGTATACCCAATCCTTACAAGTACTTGCCTTTAAATTAATTTTAACAATACTGTCTGGGGGTAAAAAAAATTATCTCCCATATATACAGACAGACACAAACAGAGTAGTTAGGTCCAAATTTTGTTTAGAGGCAGTTACAATTTATATGTCCTTGACAAGTCAAGTTCTAAGTGACCTTTCCCCCTTTAAAGGACAGCCATGTTTAATACCTCAAATAATTGGGTTGACATTTCCTTTTAAATGCATTTGCCTTGGAATTTTGGTTCCTGTTTTGGTTGAATTCATCTTAGTGGCCTTTTTCTGATACCAGTTACACCCACACACCAGGAGTCCTTTTTGAGGCACTATTGCACCATATGTAAACCTATTTTTTTGAAGGATTTTTATTAAAAAAAATCTCGCTAACATACAACATTCTGTCAGTTTCAGGTGTACACCATAGCTGTTCAACATGTACCTATGAGCTGCTTATTAGTGAGTGTCTTTGGTATACTATGCTTGTTGAGAGCAGGGGCCAGCCACATTGTGCCACTTTTGCCTAGCACTGGGCCAGAGCAGCACAAGCATTTGAAAAACCACTGTAGATTTCTCCTTCTCTTCCCCATCTCCAAGTTGTAACCTTTTTACTCCTTTATCACTTGAATCAGTCTAATTACACCTTCATCTATACCTTTCTCTAAGCTAACATTAGCTCTCAGTTCCGTTGCAGTCCCCTTAGTGTAGACTGCCACAGCTCTCTATATCTTCAGACCCTTCGGTTAGCTTTTATACATCACACCTGTCTTACCACTACACTGTAAGCTCCACAAGGGCAGTGCCTTTTTACGTCCTCACCACTGTGTCTTGTGCCAGGAGCATAGTAGGCATTCAGATAATGCTATAGATATGGCTGGCACCACCTAATGGTAACAAAAGAGATTGATCTATAAACCGTTGTTGAAATGCAGTAAACTTCACAGCACTAGATAGCTGTTAAAAGTTAAAGGAACAGACTTAACGTTCTTTTCCTACAAGTTATTTAGTAATTAGCATTGCTGTTTTTGTCTTCAGAGATGTTGTCCAAAGGGTGATATATTCCTAGTTGTGTTTAAGAGCTTTTTCAGCTGATGTACATACACATGTTTCCTTTTTAGCATATGGTTCAGAAGAACAGAAGAATCTCAAAGACTGTAGTAATGGAACAGTTATTGAAAAGCAGGGTCCAGTCTATGATGTATGTCAGTTTCCTGTTGGCTTACTTGAAGAGTCCAGTGGTGTGAATGACCCTAACTTCGGCTACTCCAGAGGACACCCTTGTATTCTGGTGAAAATGAACAGAGTATGTACATCTTTTGCTGCTTTTTCCTAATGCCCTCTATTAAGAAGTGGGCAGCTACTTGTTAAATGTTATTCCATTTGGGGATAGCTTTTGTAAAAAGCTAACAGTGATCTTAATTAACCTTTGGAAAAATTAATACAGAAAAAAAACAAGATTGGTTCACCCATTCATCATGGTTTGAGGAGTGAAACAACTTCTGCTTTTCCCTTTTGGAGATAGTTACATGCATTTAGGCTTAATGAATGCTTCAAGGGGCAGGTGTTCTGGTTCATGCCCAAAGCATGGTTTTATCGGTGTGCAGGGCTCATCTTTGAATCCTGTGCTGTAAAGTAATTTCAGATCTCATGGAGAAAAAAATATATGAAGTTTTAGCTTATTTAACTTTTTCTGAATAGTTAGTAGGAAAGCATATTGTTACAGTATACATATATACAATTAAATAGTAGAACTACAAATACAGTTGCATTGTAATGAACTCAGTGGGGTGTTGCAGTTGTCGCTCAAGTTAGCAGCATTTGCTGCGTTGTACACAAGAGATGCCTGCATTACAGAGCCACTAGCGAATCAGGAAGCTAATGTTCCCTCCCCGTGTAAATGATAATGGCTTAGGGTCATCATGCAGAGGAAGCTGCTTGCCTTCTGTGGTCCCTAACCCTGCTATGCCTGGCTGCTCTATAAATGTTGCACTGCAGAGTTGCATTCTGGCACACTTACCCTGTTGAGGCCTGCAAAGTCTCCCCTTTAAAAGTGCTTCTTCCTGGTCATTTACTCTCAGAAAAGGCAGTTTCTTAAACAGGTGTGTAGACCTCTCAAGATGATGAGTTTACATATCACTAAAGCCACCATCCAATCAGCAAATTGCTACCATCCCTAAGAAAAGTAAAACTTTAGTCTTTGGAAATTGACACTGCTAAAAAAGGAGTTTCTCTGTAGGGAGTAGAGAGAGCCAGCTAGACCCTGAGGTGCCCAGGCCGACACTCCCCACCCTCTCCTTGCTGCCGCCACCCCCACCCTCCACCCCCCACCAAAGACAGCGTCCTCATTTCCCCACAGCACTCTAGAGATCATTCGGAAACATGGTCTGACGCAGAGCAAGTGCTCCATGAATGACAGGGATGTTTCAGCAAAGACTGTTAAGAATTAAGGTTAACAAAGTAAGCCAAAAGTGATGTGAAACTAGAAGATCTAGCTTGTAAGATAAATTAAATTTGTCACTTTAACAGAGATGCCTTTTGTAATCCCAGACTCCCTCCCAGGAGTGTCTTAAGGACGAGACTGCTGGAAAACCTATTCCCATATAGAAGTTTGAATTCCTTCTCTCACAGGACCAACCTTCTGAGTTTTTTGTGTTTTTTTGTTTTTGTTTTTGTTTTCAATTATGTCCTCTTTGAATGATAAGGGCCTAAGATTATACTTGCTGAGAGTAGGGCATGGCTTTGCAGGGAATGACAGGAAGACAACATCAGGTACAAACTGGGATCCGCAATGAGATGTGCATACCTAGTGTAGCAGGGGATTTAATCCCAGGATGTTTTTGTTCTAAAGTCATTACATGGGCAAGGATAGTTATTGCTGTTGATATTAATATTTAGGTTGCTACAATACTTGTCTTTTGAGAGGAGTATTTACATTTTATAGGCATTCACATATAAAATGCATATAAGTTAAATGCCAAAACCTCACGAAATAGATGAATAAATATTTGTTACCGTTCATGCAAGAGTTAGTTACCAACTACAAACATGAGAGTAGCCTCATTCCATAGAACTGGATGGTGCTCCAGGAGTCTTCAAATGGGAGTCTTTCCAATGTATGCATTTTGTGGAACAGACAGAGGTAGAATATGGTCAGGCTCTGTGGACTATTATGGGAACATATTGGGGATTGTGAGCTAATAGATTTTCATGAGAAACAATTATACTGAGTTGTCGGAAAAGTCATAACGCATTTTTGCAATGAAAAACAGAAAAAATACATCATGACTTTTCCGACAACCCAATATTATGCCTCTGCAGTTCTTCTTATTTGCATTATTTGTTCATATAAATCATGAAATTTAAAGGTTTCTGGTTGTTTCTTGTTTTAAGAGAAACGAAGTGCAATGCTGTATTTTGGTCAGTTCTTTGGTAACTGATTTACTTTCTAAATTGCCCCAATTTAGGGTAATGAGATGGCTAGTTGGTGTATTGAAAAATCCATTCTAATCCTCTAAAATAAAATTAACGTAAAAGGCAACAGGTAATAGGGTTTAATGCACAGACTTAGTGTTCATCCCAACTCTTGCACCCCTGGCCCCCTGGGGAAAAAGGTTCTGTTGTATATACTTGCGATGTTTCAATTAATATTTCTTTACCTTAGATAATTGGATTAAAGCCTCAAGGAACACCAAGGATAGAGTGCTCTAATCAAAAGGTTAGTATTCAAAAAATAACTCAACTTCTGTTAAAGCTTTAATGTATCTTACTACTTAAGTATAATGAGTTTTTGTCATTTTTTTTCCCTGTCACAGTTTTAAAGTCCTTTGGGGGTAGCCCATCTCTGTTTGCTCATGATAATTCAAAGACTTCTTTTCCATGTGCATTTGATGTCACACACATTGCCTTCATATACATATTTCATTAATTCTAAAGTTCACTTTTTGTTTTCTATCTTTGTAACAGATTGGGGTTGGCCTTATAATTAATGGTATCTTAACAGTGTATCATAAGATTTTTTCTTAACAGTATGTAAATTGGTGTATATCAATGGCATCTGAGATTTAATGAAATATGGTACATTTTTCTTAAGGTAGAGGCAGTGTTTTTCTCTCCTATCCCTACTTTATTTTTTTCGAGAGTGCTGTGCAGTTTTCATCTCGTAACTTCTTTTGTTTTCTCTCCATGCTGCAAGTGCAACTAAGAAAAATATGTAAATGATGGGTAAGAGTTCTGAGGAAAAACTTTTAAGTTCTAAATTTATTTTATCCTTTTGCAAAATATTAACATTCCAACTCCAATTATGTGTCAGAAGTATGTTGAAGTATTACATTGAAATCTAAATTTGTTCGTGAAAACGATTATAATTCCTTTTAACCACAAATGGCTTTCTTGTTTGGGCAGAAACTTCTTGCTCAATGGTTCTCAGATTCGCTCATGTGTCAGAATCGCTTGGAGGGCTTATTCGGTTCCATTCCGCAGGTTCTGACACCGTTGGTCTGGGGTGAAACCCAAAATGTGCATTTCTAACTAAGGTTTCCAAGGGATGGTGATGTTATTGGTCTGGGACCCACACTGAGAACTCCTGCTTTAGAGTATCCTTATTAGTTTCTTTTGACTATTTTACTCACTTAGGAGTTGGAAATTTGTGGTTTCTTGTATGGGTTGAAGTATACATGTGTGACCATAGGCAATTCACTTTATCTCCTTACACTATATTCTGCTCAGCAGGAAACTTGGATAAAAAGCCAGAATCTCATTTAAAACCAGATGCTACAATGAAGCCAAGCTTTTCCTGATAAACAAATACTAAAAATCTAGTGAACACATACTGTCATTTCTTTAAAGACAAAAGAAAGCATTACAGCGATAGGATACATTTTAGAAGCTGTGTTGTGTAACTATGAATAACTATGAACCTCCTTGCTTGCAAGTCTTTGCAATAGAAAGTTGCTGAGGCTTGAATGCTAGGCTTCAGCCATGTAGAAGTGCTAATTTCATGACAGTGTGCCTGTACACAGGAGCTTTTGCCTTTGCATATGAGCTGACTACATTCCAAGTAGATAAACTTGGAATGGTGAGTCTGTGGACCTACCACCACCACCACCAAGAAGGGAACACACACACTTTTAGACCATAACGGCAAAAGCTTTAAACCCTTTTCCTTAGGTTTCAGTTTTATAAACCTTCGGCCAGAATAAGCTCCATGTAAGTCATCCCTTAGGGTTTTAAATGAATTTTTCTCCTTGTTTATCTATCTATAATGTATCCTTTGCTTCTGGACTAGTTGGGGGAAAACATCCATGAAAAATCCTGGTCTTAATGTCCCAGATTTCTAATTGCTGTCCCTTTTGCTTTGAAGAGTTATGTGTAAAGTGCATAAACTAATCAAAATAGATGGAGTTTTGTTTTATTTAGTTGTGGAATATCTTTGTTGTTAGAAAAAAAACACGAAATTGGAAGAAATGTTTGTAAAACGGCATTTTATTCCTAAGCTCATCAAAAAGGAGTAATCAGGTGAAGTCCCAATAGATTTTAGAGGCGTGGCTCTGCAGAACAGATGAAAACATTTATTGCATAAACACTAGTGACAACGTACTCTTAGAGGTAGCTTTTAATTTATATTAATTTAAAGGATGGCTCTTGCAAAAAAACATAATATATTTATGTCATTAGGGATTTTTTTGTATTTTTTTTTTTAAGATTTTTTATTGGGGAATTGGGGGATGGGAACAGCGCTGGGGAATTGGGGGAAGGGGAACAGACAAGTTGCTGTCCTTTTGTNACCCCGTGTTTAACTTCTTCACTGTCTTCGGCCTTTAACTTCACAATAGCACCCTAAAACAACATTGCTGCTAGAACGCAAATGCTTTTGCTTTAAAGAGGGTCTTCTCTAGCGAGACCGCTATGGGTAAGTGGGGTTGCCCCTGGCTTCTGCCTGCCCTGACCCTTCCTGCTAGGCCTACGCCTAGCATGTCAACGTTCCCCACCTCAGTCCAGGTGGGGCTGCCACACTAACCTGGTCCAGAAGACCTGATAGGCATATGCAGACCTCATCTGCATATGTTCTTCCCAGCCACACTGGTTTGTGTAGGGGTAGCATGTGACTCAGGCTGGTCCCCCAGGAGAGGGCACCTCAGGACTAGTTAGAACATCGGTCAGAAGCGCTCAACTGAGGGCCGGAGGGCAGTGAGGAATCCTGCAGCGGCTGGTGACCATCTGGCCACCATTTGGAGAGAGCCTGCCTGAGAAACAAACCCACAAGGTCAAGAGGTGGGTGAGGAGTCAAACACCAAGAGACTTGACAGCATAGCTATGACACCTTCAGATGCCATCTGCTGGAACCCCACTTCCGTAAGATGGCCCTCCTCGGAAAAGACTGGGGGGGGGAGAGAGAAGGGCTTTGTCCTGGGCGTTAGTGTTTTTTGTCCTGGGCAACTGTTCACACTGCACACATCTTAGGACTGGCCTCGCTCCCGTCTGAATCCATGTCATTGACCACCTCCCACCTCTATCACCAACTCTGCCAAACGACAACCCATTTAACCTGCATTTGTTGGTATAAAACTTAAGCCATACACTTACCAGATTCGGAGACTGCCTTGGAGAGGCTTGGATCGACTCTAATTTATGTAAGAACCCAATCTGGAGTTGGCCTGCTTGGTTTTAAGTCCTTTCTCTGCCCCTTGCTCAAGCTGTGTGATCTTGGATGATAACTTAACCTCTCTGTTTCTCAGAGTTTTTGTTTGTTAAATAGGGCTAAGTGCTTAGACTAGTGTCTGGCAATTAGTGCTCCATGTCGTAGCAGTTCATTATTGTTAAAGATTAGTATTTGGGAACAGTTTTCCTGTCTTTTGTCCTGGGCTTCATGCTCTGGCCACAGGAGTCCTCATTTGCCCGGGCACGTTTCCTGCACTCTCACCGCCAGCGCTATCTGGAGCCAGAGCCAGCTTCTCAGCGTGGGAGACTTGCCCAGGGTTTGTGGCCGTTCCCTGGAGTAGTGTAGAAGCATCTTGCTCAATCAAAGACTAGTCGCTAATTCAACTCACAAACCAATGGCTAAAAGAGTTTTGCCCCAAGAGAGGTGCAGCCCTGGCCTGTGAATATATAATATGGACGCAAAGGGCAGGAGGAAAACAGACTCTGTGCCTGTTCTAGAAGCCCTTTGGAAATGGCCTTCTGCGTGACTGTCCCTGGTCTCGGTTCACCTTTTAAACCAGGGATCTCAAACATGACTTTGAACTTAAGGATGGGGGTGGGGGTAAATGTTTCACAAGCGCCTCAGAACTCAAGCTGGAACAGTAGCCTGATGCCTCGTGTTGGTCTCTCTGGCATTTAAGGCATTTCCCTCCCTGGATACAAAGATTGGGTGGGGACAGCCCTGGCTGGAGCTCCAACATTGCGATCCTCTCTTTGCAAGTGATTTGGTCTCCTCATGACCTTGGGATATAGTCACTTGCCTTCCTAATGCTTGAGCTTCTCCTGAGGAGCTATTATAGATAAATTCACATGGTAAGCAGCTGCAAGTATTACGGACTTCTTGCTGTAGCTGTTAGTCATCTGTTTTTGACTATATAAGAAGCTCTTTTCCCTCCCATGCTCGCTGGCTTCTCTGGGCAAGTGTTCTCTTGTTAACAGCTGCCCACACTTGAGAATGAAAAAATCCAGCGGCTGCCAGTTAGAATGAGCATGTTCATGGCCGCAGCAGGCAGACAGAACTAGTGGTACTGGACTGGGGGGAGGGGAGAATGAAACAGCCGTTTCCATATTTGAAACATGGACCATATTGGCTTGGGACTTATCAATGATTATGTGTCCTCAAATGTCCACAGTCTCTTCCTGGCTTATAGAAAATACACTAATAACCTTCCTGGGTGGGGAGAGACAGAGTAGAGTCTGCAGGGGGCCTGGACTGGTTGGAAAAGCAGTTGGTTGTTGGACAAGTGCCCAGAGGTGGGGTGACTGAGTGAAGTCTGGTGCTCCCTCTCTCTTCTTAAGAGCAGTTTTTTTTCTGCTCGGATCAGTTTAGATTCTACCACCACCCACTTAACTCCCACAGCCAGGCAAATGCCACACCCATGTAACATTTCTCTTTTTTCCAGCTGGTCCTCTCTTGACTCAGTCCAGCAGAAACAAGAACGTAAGGTAGTCAAAGCCAGTTTTTCAAACTTACCCAGGCTTTTGTCAGATCATCCAGGTGAGAACACTATGGTTGTTCAAAACTAACCAAAAGGTCAGCATACTTTGAAAAAGTGTATAATTCACTTATTC